CAATAAAAAATAATAATGTCAGAAACTCTCTTTATTCAATTTTTCTTCACAGAAGTATAGAATTCATCAGCAGCCGGATTCATGCAAAACCTTTTGAGCTTTTGAAGATCTTTATACTTGGCTGCATTGATAGGAATCCTGCCAAAATAAGCTCGTGGTGGTAAATAAAATTCACCTTTTTTTAGTCCATCCTTCACACCAGTCAATGGCAAGACAGTACTATTGAACTGGCCGGAGTATGTTCGCTTTAAAAAACGAGGCGAGGATGTTTCTTTTCAATCTGGAAGATCCTGACAGCTCTGGTACCGAAGGGGCATTTTTTTGTATCTAGGCTCTAGAAAGTTGGTCCAAGCCCGGAATTTTTCTTGTCGAAAGTTGACAACTTTGAACGGTTTGGGATTCGTCCTGGCATTTCTAAATACTTTACGCCAATCCTTTGGTAGCTCACATGGAGATTTTTGGTTAATCAGACCCATGTTCTTATCAGGTTCCATATAAGAGTGCCCCCTTATGGGAAACGTAACCTCAATGTAGTCAAGCCGTATCTCCATGTGCACAATGTAATGCATTAATCGGAACAGTGTGTAATTCTTGTTTTGTCCACCGCAGCTGTCACAGAAAATAAGCAATTTTCTTACCGACGTCTTGAGGAAGTTGTGTATGAAGTCATGAAGCATGGATGCTACGTTATCAGCTCCTTTTTTCCCCTCCCTTCAGGATACATGTAGAAAACACTTTCTTTGTCTGATAGCTGGTGTATATTAAACGAATAAAAAGAAAGCTTTCTCGTATAATAAACATCGCTAGTGGTGACATTGGGAAGTGGTACATTTTTCTGGTAGTCCATTGCAATAGCTTCAGTATCAGAAGTAGTGCGGCTGAGGAGTTTAGCCTTCTTTTTTAGTTCATAAAAACGGCTTGCTCTTGCTAAATGGACTTGTGAATCAACTTTCAGCGTGTTAAGCTCATTTTCCACTTTTAGACCTTTAATTAAATCTGCTTCTAAGGCGCTAATTTTTGTCTTAGTTTCGTCACAAAAACTGCACGTATCTATGCGTGGGTAGCCGAACGAGATATTAAAGTTTTTCACAAAGATTGACCTGTACGATTCATATGATACAGCCAAACCTGGATTTTTCTCCATGTACATGAGATGCATCTTCTTCACGTTTAGCTCCTCAGGAAGATAGATCTTAGAAGTTTTCTGAAGGTTGTAGTGAGCATTTCGTCCTTTGAAGAAAGCGATATGATTCTTTACAGCAGCCACCTTTGCTTCACTCAACTTGTGCGGTCTGTTTTTGTGTTTTCCACGACCATCGGTAGGAGCCTGTCCCTCAAGTTTCAGTGACATGACGATGTGCTCTATGCGCCTCTTTGTTATTCCGTGCAATGAAATAAATGCCTTGCGACAGACTGGGACGTCTTCATATTTTCCGTCACGCATGACGCGAGCCCTAAAAATGAACACCAATTTTTTATTTCAACGGAATTCTGCTGGATTATGGCCTTTATCTCCTCTCATTAACATAATTTAGAGTGGTTTATAACAAAACTGGACTATTTCACTCACCTATAACAGTAGGTTGCTTCATGGAAATCAGCAACAGCCTCGGATTGACGGGGTCGTCTTCTAGCTACAGGCAGAACTGTGATGAGCCCTGTTACGTACAAACTTTGTTCATCATACGTTCCCAGGGCATTAGAATACTTAATTGTTGCTTTCCTGTCTTCGTCTGTAATATTGGTAAAACAATTTAGCCTCTTGCACTTGCAATCATCTCCAGTAATATGAGATTACAGTCTTAGACGCTTGGCTACGTCTGTGAGTCTACCAAATGACTGTCTCTTCTTTGTTGCTTTTCTAACACTTTTATCAATGTCACACTCCATTCTCAATCAGTTAATTAAGTTGAAATAATATTAATAACAGCTCACAAATGCGTTCAAATTTCACGAACAACGCAGAACGACTCTTGTAAACAACAATGGCGAAGTCCCATTCTTTTCCCATGCTACTATCTCGGAACCTAGCTCGTTTTTAGCCAGTTCTTCACAGCTAAACGATAGAGTCGCAGTTTAGCTACAAAACAGCATGGATAACTCAAAAATGATTTGTTTCTGACTAAGCCCGATACTCCCCTGTGGTCTTCATATGGATTTCGCACATATTCAGGATTTTAGCGGTTCAACTTTTTTCAAAATCAAAGATATCACTCACAAAGTGAGGTAACCAGCCCTTCTTTCTTGAGAGATTCTTCTTACCTTCTTCGTGAACAGGCTGCTCTCGATTGGTTCACCAAAAAAAGGGCAATGTTTGAAGAATAGGTTAAAAAGTCTACAATACTCTGTTCACTGTTTATCGTACGATCAAAAGTACGATGATAAGTGTTTGTCATGAAGACATACGATTATCATTTGGTTGAGTATCCAGGTTTGAGCGAATCATCGATGCAATACATAAGCTCTGCAATAAATCACATATCTGATATAAATCAATACCTTAGTATGCATGTCAGTTTTGCAAAATCAAGAATATCGGGCTAGCAAATGAATTTAGGTGGCCTGAAAAACCAATGCGACAGGCGTGATGAAGAAAGGTTTCATGAATCAATTTTTGAGGTTATGATCGCATGTTTGCTCTCAATCAATTGTTCTGGACTATTCTCAAAATTTTTCGAAGCCACAATTTCCAGCCTCCATATCTTCAAAAATACACCTTCCAGGTGAAAATAGAAACTTTCTCGAAGGATATGAGATAGAGGGCAACACAAAGTGTAATTTCTTCGATCGTTCCACTACGATTTCAAAGATGTGACTTGAGTCAAAAGGTCATCTTACACACTAGTTAGTGTATGTTAGTGTTAGGTTCTCAAGTTTCTAATCACTTTAATTTCATTATTATATGACGAACTTTTCAAAAATATCAATTTTTGCTACATTACAAACTTTTATTGGCCTACACTCGTTTTCTTTCTACAAATCTGTTTTCATTCCTGTTTGTCGTTAAAAAATATATGTTTCAAAACGAACGGCCAGTTCTGTGATAAGGTTTAAAGTTTGGAAAGTTTTCGAAATAAAAAATTCTCAAGCCTTTCTTACATTCAAAAATGTTTGAAGATAATTGTGAACTAATGAATTTGCTCATCTGTTTTTGGCCTAAAGGTAGTGAGTTATGAATCTGGTCGATTTTGATTGGTTTGAAAGTGTGAGTTATCCCTTTGGAGTCTGATTTATTTTTCTTACACTTGTGATATATCTGAGGTCAAATTTTATGTAAATGTGGATACTATATCAAGAAATGTTAGTTTTATAAATGCAGGTTACGCCCTTTTTTCGCTAAGGGCCGGGACATATGTGTCCCATTAGACATTTTAGGTGGAACATATTAAACCCAGTAGTCTCGAAAAAAAAATGTATTTCCATTCAAATTATATTGGACAACATATAGAACATTATTGCAGAAAGAGTGAAGCAATTTTTGCACAGAGGTTTATTGCACATTTGACACAATGTTTTTGTTCTTACTTCTTTTTGCATCTATGCGCATCTGCAGCAGCGACGTCTTATGGGGCCCTCAATAGGTGAACGATCGCCCACATTTTAATGTTTTCGTTTTTTCGAACTAGGTCGCCCTAAAGATGTTGCTGATTTTCTCTTCACACTTGCCCCACTTCGTCCCAACGCAATCAAATTTTCTGCTATTGTAATTAGGAATGGCAGGAATGAAGTTTTTGTGAATCTTACATCATCGTAGAGAATATGAGCATTTCTTGTAGCTATCATAACGAGTTCGAAAAAATCTTTTTTCCACCACTTATTTGATCTTCTGTCGAAGTCGTATAAGCCCGCATATTGATCGGTTAGATCTATTCAGCAATCTGCATGAGTAGGCTTCTGGGAAAAATCTTCAAGAAAATTTCAACTTCCTTCATTTGTCTCGGCAGGCAAGAAGTAGCTGCTTCTCCATCAGGTATACAGAATCTGGGAGAAAATTGTTGACTGCTGCTACTCCAAAATACTACCCCATCTGGTGCCACTACGTTTTCACTTCCGATTGTCTCATTACCTTCTTGACTAATTTCATCATCATTATTTATATCATCAGCGATAATTTCATCTTCGTTATTGTCGCTTTCTGAGGAACAATAATTTTCATCATCTTCGCTATTATCGCTCTCTGAGGGGCAATAATTTTCATCTGATGAGTCTTCACAATGAAATGGGTCATAATCGTCATCACTCAAGCCATCTTCTATAATTCTATTAGCTTCTTCTTCAAGTTCTCTTTGTGTCAATATTCTCATTGTTGTACAGAACCACCGGGACAAATGTGTCCCGTTCAAAATGCCTGGTGGGACCCAGGTGTCCCACAGTCTAAAGTAATGAAATTCAACAGGTTTTATTAGTACACGATCATTGAAAACTAGTGCATTGGTTATTACTAACCTTAGAGAGCAGACAAAATACAGTTAGGGCAATAATACACAATTATAGGACAATAGGACAATATAGGACAATAATACACTTGCAAATTTTTCAGAATATAGTGGAACGCAAAGCACGTGTTGGCTAGACGGACTTCACCGGCAAACTGTGAGGTTATGTGACCACTTGTAAACAAATACTTGTATAGTGTGTGTTTAGAGACTGATATATTCATGTATAATGAAAAAACGGGATCTATTTGTACCACTAGGCGCACGAAATACATGGATGGGACACGTATGTCCCGATAGACTCCAAAGAGTTATGGATCGTTTTGGCTACTCACTCACAAAAGCGGTAAAATAATTGATGAACTTTTCGACAGTAATAAAAAATCAATAATACTTCACTATCAAATACTTCAGTGATATTCTTATCCTATAATTCCACTACATTTCAAAATTACCATCTTGGATGAAATTAGGATTCCTTTTAATTCAAACGGCTGTTGACTATTTGTTGGATATACCGTTAATTCAATTCTTCCACCACTAATGAGATTCTTTTTGTTTTAGGTGAATATTTTCCGGGATTTCCTGCATGTGAGTATAATAAATCCTTATAAATGTCAACGTAATTCTTGTTTCATGGATATAAATACTCAACCGGAGTTCATGTAACAAGCAAATATATAAAATTCATTCATTAACATTTTTCGTTCTATAATTCCAGTTGAACAAAGGATAAGGGAACTTGAGTTTGATATTTCAAAGAGCAAATAATGTTTCCATTGTTATTTTTGATTCAGTATATTTCTCAAAATAGTATTTTGATTTTGGAGAAGTCTTTCAACGTTCTATTTTTCGTTCACCATTTTAGAATTCATCTCATTGACAACAATGACTGCTTTCCTGAAGTTTACTGAATTTCAGGAATTTTCGAATAAAACACAAAGATGAGTTTGAACATTGGTTGACTGAAAAAAGATCACAACTTACTTGCTACACAATACCAATTATTACTAATCAGTTTTTATCTCACTTTTTCAAAAACTCCGTGTGCTGCTGCTCTTCCTTGCAAAATAATTGAAATTGGATTGCAGTTTTAAATATCGACTCACAGTAGGGAATATAATCGAATTTCTAAAGCTAATTTCTACGCAATCAAACGGTTTCTGATTGTTTGTGGATTCAATAGAATTGCACAGAGTTAAGCGTTGATACTGAAATTTCTGCCAAGTGGGTGCATTAATGCATTCCGTTCGACGAAGATAAACGTTACTTCCCATCAGTCAATAATACTAATGGGAAAACAATGCGATGCACACGAGGCTACTGAAGAAACAATGAGCAATCAAATTCCGGAGGAATCCATACCGGAGAACCAATTTGGATATATCTCTGTGCAGGTGCAAAATTGAGATTGAAGTTGATATTCCACATCTGCTAATGAATTCTGGTAATACCTTTTTATGTGATGGTATCTATTGATTAATATGTGTCAAAAATTAAACAAGAAACGAAACTGAATGTCATCGAAAGGAGAATCACTTGAAATTCCCCTGAAAGTTCTTCTTACCCATCTTACAACTTGGGTTTAGGTCCCAAACAAATCCATTGAATTTAGGTGATGATTTTCAGATTAGAAGCAAGCTTGTCGGGCCATCTGTGGTACCATCAGTACCACACTGCCAGCGGCCATGAAGATTCTTCTAGATCTACCTCCTCTTCTTATTTTCCTGAGGAGAGAGGCTAGATTGACTGCATATAGACTTTTGCACATTGCCAATTGCACAAAGCAATTCAATGTGCAACAGACTGTTGGTTGATACAGGAAGCCACTGCATTCTGGGAATAACCTCTGACATTATGCCTCCAGCTTTCAACTACAAACTGCCTTATACGATACTGTTCCCTTGTAGAGGGGACTGGATTCTCCGAGAGAAAGAAATACCAAGAGCAGATAGTTGTTGGTTCACAGACATATCAAAAAACACCCTCAGGTTCTGGTGCAGGTGTTTTCAGTCGCAAACCCAGGACACAGGTTTCAACCTGCCTAGGGACCTATGAGACTGCATTTCAAGCGAAAATTCATGCTATTCACTTGTGTGCAGAGGAATTGGTAGAATCCAATCTCATACACAAGTCGATAGAAATATTATCAGACAGTCAGTAAGCGGCGTTGGAAGCTCTTGGCTCCCACCGAGCAACGTCTTAATTGGTAGCAAAGTTTCAAAAACGAATCTCCTCGATAGGAAGACTTGAAGAATTGCCAGTGGTGTGGATTCCTGGCCATACTGGTGTGGAAAGTAATAAGGCTGCTGGCTTCCTTGCAAATTAGGGTGCTTCCAGCAGCTTCATCGGTCCAGAACCTGTCATTGGTATCGCTTCAGGCTTTGCCAACCAAACATTGAACACTCGGATGGAAAGAATATTTATGGACTTCTGGCAGAATCTTCCAGGATTGGCTCACTCCAAGGCGTTTATTCGCCTTTCGAAGCTTGATACCAAATAGTTGTTGGACTATAGTATGAATGAACTTTGATGTCTAAGAGGCCTTTCAACAAGTCACTGTCATTTGAATCATCATATGCAGAGACTTGAACTGTCGGAAAACAGTGTGTGTCGCGACTGTTGACCCCCTTCACATTCAAAATCCTAAGGGTAACACTCGCCCCTCCTAGCGGGTTGAACCACGAGGGCTACGAATAGTCTTTGAAAGTGTCCCCCTTGACAATGAAATCGACCTTTTTTTCGATTCCTCATATTGTGTACTAGAAGAAAAATGTTAAGTGTGGGAAGTTTTTGAATTGACACCCTGTGTTTCACCCATATAAATAATAGGTCGATATTCTTCTCTATAGGTTCGCATTTTTTTCTAGGATCCATTCCTGACTTGTCGAATAGGCTGGCGTTCCATCAATATTTTCTTGTTATTTTCCACTTTTCTCCATCGAAATCCAAGTTAATGAATATTTTCCCCTCAAGGATTCCCTGCTATCCTGATAGTCAATATCTAGGATAATAGTTTTATGAATTTTCCTAAACGTTTCTTTCTAATATGGAAATTATTCATGCATCTGCTTAAAATTGCCAAATCAGCATCATGAACTACACCTTGCGATTTGATCTTCACAAACTTTATTTTGAAAAAATATCACACAATAGTATTTTGAATGATGTACGTTATTTACAAAGAAAAAACTATTTCCACAGAGCTATGTCCACAGAGAACCTTGTTTTCCACTCTACTATTCAAAGGCAATTTCAAAGACAAAAAATAGGTTACAGTCCACCACACAGAATCATTTGTCTACTTGATGTACTGACACGATGTTTCCTACACGAGTTTTTCGATGTTTATGAGCTCTCGTCTCACTTCGCCAGCTGATTTACTGCGCTTCGAATATTCAGCGGCACTGCTAGATTTACCATGCTGTACCTGTCGCGCATTTCCTTTCATTTTTTGCACCTGTCCGTGACACAAAAATTCCAGAAAATAAATTGACTATTACCGGAATCGTAGTATATGAAATACGAATGAAAAGTACCTTTTACTTTCTCTCTCTCTACTGGTAAGTAATACTACATGAGTCGAAGAAATAGATACTGTGCACAAAATTGTTTTTTTTTCGCAAAAGAAACAGGAAAATATCTATAAATTTCCAATTTCTAATCACGATTTCCAAAAGCTTAAACCTACAAATTCCACACTCCCAAAACAACAAAACCACACACTTTTCCTACGAACACAACACAATCTTACGAAGCTAAAGCTTGAAATCAGTTCCCGAAAATTTTGAGAAATAAAACCTTGTTACAATTTCATTTTCATATATAGAAGTATAAAGTTTGCCAATTCATCAACTTTTTCACTTTCCTCAATTATTTTCTGAACTTGTTAAGAACAGTGAAATTGTTCTGTTGATAATTTAAACCATTATAGACCATTTACATTCAGAGACCAGAATTCCGATTTTTCAAGCTATTCGAGTATTTTTCTGCAGTACATCTCCATACAAAAAAGTTTAGTCAACACGAGAAAACTTTCCGAACCATTTTTATAAGGGAATGAAAAATAATCTTTGCTCTCTTTGGGCGAAATAATATTTGTCAGTGTTGAGAGGACATTAGTGTTCATTATGTCTTCTGGATTATGTTAGTCGTTGAACAGTATATTTTAATAACCACAGGAGTCTTCCACAGTTGTTGAAATATTAATGAGTCTTTACGCTCAGCTGAAGAAATAAATTTCGTTTGCAAATAGCTAAGATTAGTAATTGATTCACATTAATTTACAGTGCAATTTATGCAATATATCGACCTCAATTATTAGAGATTACAATGGGTAAACAGGTAGTTGTAAGAAGAGATGGCTAGCAGGTAAATTATTTTTACTGATGCTAATTCTAGGATATTTTCCATTGAATCATATTCAACAGTGTTAAGAGAATAACATTTTATTGGTCGTTCAATAGTAAATTTGATAGTTTACATTTATTTTATTCAACCTAGTAGGTTGAATAAAATTATTCGTTGACATAGAATTCTTATGAAGAACTGAACTTGAAGAAACAGATGGCAATAAACAACTTCAGTCCTCACATCAAAACAGTGACCTATACAGAAAATGCCTGAGAAACGATGAGTAGACTACTGATTGAGGCAAACATCAACATAGTATACATGCAAAAATCAAATGTGCTGTAATCCCTGGACGTTAATAAACGTAAACAACCGATTTCTTGTTAAACGATCAACAAGAAAATAATTCCTCCCCTGCTTTACTATCTGTGTACCAATCAGTAATCTATATCGATTCAGGTCAATAATTTGTACATATTGCATTGTAAAGTAGAGTGCCAGTCAAACTGAGGATACTTCCAAGTAATGAAACGCGTATTGAAAATGAATTCTACAATGAGAAATTTTGTAATTATTATCATGGATAATAACGTGTCTATGTATTGATAATTCCAACAAAAAAATGTAACATTGTCGTGTTCATTCAAACGAATACTGCATCCACTTATTGAATTCAATTTCCGCTATCAGTTTATCAGAACTGAAGATACGCACAGAATCAATGAGCAGATATTGCATTTTGAAATATGTCTTCGAGAAAAATCCATTTTGAATAAGATTGCATATTCTGCATCTCTACAGATTGACAGATTTCAAATTGATTCTCCATTTCACTGAGTTTTCCTGCACAACACACAAGAGCATTAGAGATTAGAGCATTTCCATCTTGTGAATATCTGAATATCACCACTAATTGTTATTATTCGGATGAAGATCAGTACATATTTCCCAATTTTTTTTCCCGGGATTTGAACCAAAGTTCGTTAGATAACACATGCTCGATTACAATGTCATTTTTCTTGTCGTGTAACCACATCTCTTCATATTTCAGTATTGAGTAAAGTGGTTGAAATTATAATTAAGATTCAGCTCTATGCCTACTTTGAGAATAATAAATGTTTCAGAAAGTCGCGCTCAACAATAGATGCAGTGTTCGACGTCGTGTCTGGCGTGATTGAGGAACTTGAGCAGGGCAATCACACTGCGTTGATGCTTTGTGGCCTGTCGAAAGCATTCGA